CGCACGACGGGCGACGCACGACGGGCGACAGCACGACGGCAGATATGGAATTCCATAATATTTTCCCTTCAGGTCCAATAAGCATCTGAATTTGCCGTGAATATTTCTCCTGTTTTCCAAACATATACCTCACTTCTCCCTTATCCAACATGAATTCTCAAAGTGTTTGCCCATGAAATGAAAACGAAAGTAGCAGCCAAGAGGAAATTCTCCCTCCAATCACTCAACGGGAATACGATTCAACGTAAGCACTTTTATTTGAATAACTTCAATTCTGAACTGAATGTGTGAAAGTACACTGTATTCGACATCTGCAAACAAATGTTGAGACTGAACGAAATGCAAAAATACCGTTTGAATACAAATGTCACATATCTAATTGCAAAAATGACGAATTCGGCAGAAATGCTACATCGTGGCATTTTAAATTGAAATCTACAACTAAATACATGTAGCTTCCAAAAGCACAAGGCTAAATAATGAAGTGCATTTATTTTCTTGTCTCCAACCAATTCCTTTTTTTAAAAACGAGATACGGAAACGAAGACGCCCCCAAAAAACCAAAAGCAAAAGACGCGGCTGTCTCCTGCTGCCCCCCTCCCACACACAATCCTATACCGCACACATACAGCATTCTTTTGTTTATGCACAGTTAGAAAAATTTGTAAAACGTTCAGTTTTCTGGAACTGCAAATATATTTCAATCAGATTTTTTCTGATGATTTTCCCGTTTTGTTCATTTTGCTGCAGATAACATTTTTCCAGTAAGGGGGTAATTTATCACCGTGGACTCGCTTCAGTCCATCGTAGTTCACACGACCTGCATCAGATGGAATTCTTGTTCATGGGCTCACAGGAAATAAATAGAGTTGGAGACTCTTACTGGCATTTTTAATTCAGCCATTTCACATTGTGATGCACATGCCTCTTGGAAATTCATAGCAACAAATGGTGGATGCTGGCTATTGTTCTGTGAAATCGTTACCCAGAAAAGGCTGCAGGCATTTTATGAGCCCTAAACACACAGATTGGCCTCTTTCTAAATTACAAAGAGGCCTTTATGAATTACAATGAGATCTGAATCTGTAGAAGTCAAATCAAACTTAATTTTAAGTCATATATATAACTTGCCTCTGACACTAAAAACTACCGACAGAATAATCAGATGACAGCGTCCAAAATCCTCCATGGCGAGACGTCCACGAACCCGGAAGCTACCTGTCATACACACCTTGCCTACGTTGGCACGAAATGTTGATAACTTCCTCAACTTGTTTCCGATTTTTGAAGAAGGAGATTATTACACATTACAGGGTAGGCCTACTATAGTACATACGCTTGATTTGAGGGTGAATTGTTCCTTTCTCTGTTTAATAAAAAACTGATATTTAAAGATTTGCGCCGCAGTAAGTTCAGATTATAAACTTGGACGTGTGTTAACTGATGCGTGACCGCTGATCTAGACTGGTGCGTGAAATCTACGTTCAGTCAGTGTAACACATCGGAGGTCCATGCAGTGATGGACTGGAAGCCGGTGCTAGACCAATCTCAACTTTCGCTTTTGCGGTCATTTTATACAATTGATTGAACCTAATTGCACTAGCAAGCCAGCGCCCTCTCGTCAAACCTTTCTTGACTCGAAAATAACTCGACCCCGCAAACTAACAAGTTTTCCTCTACATCTGTTTAAGCACACCTTACTTTGCTTTCGCCTTTTTATGAACAACACTTTTAATGTAATCAAAAACCTGGTGTGAATCTTGTGGGTGAGAATGAACTTAAAGTACAAAACACAGCAGGAACATAAATATTTCAGACAGAAAGCGGCATTTTAAAAACTCAGCTTTGCAAACTGAAACTGAGGATATAAATAACAATAAAAACATCTAGAGCTAAAAACATCCGTAAAAGGTTTCCTGTCGGATATATGTGAATTCATGACATAGCAGATTTAAAACCCCATTCTGGCTGCACAAGCAAAAGCAGTAAGAAAAACTTATATACATGTATGTAGATAGTGCGTTAGAACATCTTTCTTCAATGGAAAAGGCAAGCAGATATTCAAGGGAAAGTACAACTGCAGATAAGAAATAAAACCACTCGGTGGTTTCTGTCGGGAACAGGCTAGGTTCGGGGTGGGGGGTAAAAGGGCTCCAGCCCCCCAAATTTTGTCTAGCCCCCTCCCCCAAATAAAATGGCTTCTAGAACTGCACCTGGTCTTGAAGTATTCCTACATGAAACTAAAGAGAGTTACTGACACAACATGCACGCCAGGTTTAGTGTCTTTGACTTAAGTTCATTTTATCAATTTTGGATGTTCGTGCAAGTGTGCTTTCTATTTTGTTCTGTTTTCAAATTGTTTACATGCTTAAATTGTCTAAGTGCAAACGAAATTTTGTATTAAGTGCTGAACCATTTAAGCGTTACAAACCCCATGAAAAAAAATTTGGGTTAGCATACAAGTCCAGATAACCAAACAATAGTACAATGAATTTTTTTTTCATTGTGAAGCTTACAAACGGCATAATTTGCCAGATGGAATTTCAGGCTATTCATGGTGAAAGACAGCAGTAGGTGGAAAGGCTTGCAGTAGCACCATGCAAAGGAATATATCTCTTATGAGTATGTGTGGTTCTTAATGGAACCGGGAGTATATACACTCAACGTTTCGGATTGCGTGCTCAGTTCGTCATCAGGAGACTGAAGAGATGTATAATTTGCGTTTGAATTTCTAGCGTGTACATATACATTCGTTGTAAAAGGTTATGACCACAGAAACCAGAAAAATATACACCACCTACCGGTACTGATATATTTGTAAACTGTGTAAAATTAATACGTATTTCTTATAAACCTCCTGAACTCTTCTCTGTGTAAACATGAAAAAAAATGTATGGCTGTCTTATACTGTTTATAAGTGGGGCCTATACTGTACACTGATATTTTGTTTGAATGATTTTTGCATGGCCCATCATGATCACCCATCACAAGTTCAATTCAAAAAAGGTTTCAAGAAGCTTGAACTGTTCTGCTTAAAATACATGTGAACTTGAAACTTCTTGGGGCATCACCCAAAAGGAAATGACAGCTAAAGTATAACAAACGAGAGTCACATACGTTTGACCAAAAGATAAATGATTTTCCCCACTCGACCATTCCCGCTTTGTTGTGACTTGACTTGTGAATTTCCAAATTCATGCCCCCCGTCTCAGTTACAAAGAAGGTATACTAAATCTTATGTCAAAGTGAAATAGATTGCCTCTGCGTAAATACTAATCGGTGTAATTCGAAATGAAGAGGTTGTCTCATAAGCCACGCAGGATACAATGCTGATTGTGCCAACACTCTCATATTCCGACTATCGAAGTCAGTTAACATCCAGCTCTGGGCGTATTAAGTATTTCTGCTGCTCAGATGTTGGCAAGGGTCGTATGTAATTCTGTAGGTGGAGAACATTAACATGATTTAAGACATGTTTTCCTACGTATGGTTAAATGTTCCAATATGAATGGTGCATTGCACCTGTTACCGATTTTACAGTGCGATACGCTACAGTTAATCTACATATAAAAAGCCACTGTTTTAAATAACTTAAGTATAAATCTTTGCATCATTGCGGGTCACATACGAGACTCTAAATATTCGATTTGCCTGTGTTTGAATTCGTCAGATTAGTGGTCCTACACATGAATTGCGTACTGTTAATTGAAAATATTTACAAAAAATTACAACCTTTACGTACCACTGCAACTCGTTTATCTTTCACTACAGCCAGGACTGAAGAGAGTTCCAAGAAAGAAGGTCGGTTTCTTGGATCCATATGCCAGCACTTGAGCATCAAGTTGTGACTGTGAAAATAAGCCAAGGTGTACAAGTATTGTTTAGAGATAAAAGCAATTACAAACAGTGCAAACTTACGCCAACGATGTTTGCAATGAATTCGAGTTGACAAATTATACATTGCTGTGACCTGAATGCCTAAACGTAAGAACTTCTGTTGAGCGGTTAATACCACAAAAGGCAAAGAAACTGGTAAAATGCGAAATACTGGCAACTCACAGTTCTCTTTTTAGTAACGGCATTCACTGTTACGAAATAATCTCAAGCAATGTATATAGTACATATTGCAGGGCAACAGTTCTCTTATCTTCCGTTTATAATCCATCATCTTACAGTTCATCAGCGCAGTTGCTCAGCTTCGGCATACGGTATCCGTTTTCCAACCTCGACAACAGGTTCTCAGATCTGATGTCTGCGTAGGGAGTGGCCCCTGGAAGTATTTGAAAAAAATTAAAAACAACCACCGCTGATATTCCAAACTTGCGTGCATGCTAAATGGGGGAAGATTACAGGCCTGTAGTAACTCATTTTGAACGTTTATATTGTGGGTCAAAAATGGAATCATCTTCCATCTTCAGAAACTTATTGCCACTATGCCAGCAGTGATTATATGGGCGTTTCCCGTGAGCATGTTTTTCGATTTTCATTTGATGGAAAATTAATTATCGACTTGATAAAGTTTATAATCATGTGATTTCTTTTGACAGACGCATAATAAATGCCACTTTTGAAAAGATAAATCCACACCCATGTTGAAGATGTGTCTTAGGACACTCAAGCAATCCATAGATTTCATGTACCATCACACTAGCTGTTCCAATACACATGAAAGCATACTACACAGAATTGAGAAAACGTTATCAAAATCACTTATCGTAGCCTACCTAAGGTCGCAATTTCCCACAGGACGATTCCGAAGGACCATCTAGTGATTAAAATACAGTTGTATACAGTTGTAAACTTCAGTCATGTTGGTAAAGTTTTGAGAGTAAATTAAATTCACTAGCCAAAGCCCTATCTCTTGTGCAATTGCCTTGACTCATTTCAAACCAAACTGAGGTTCATGGGCTTTTCCTTCAAACCTCCAGAATGTCCAGTCATTTATGAAAGTCACTTATTAATTTAATAATTCATAATGAAAAATAATTATTTCAACTGTAAATCCTTTCAAAGAGTTTTGTCAGGAGAGGCATCAAAGGAGATAAGTTGAGGCCCAAAATCGAAGCAAGTTCCAAGACAGAGGTGGCTTCGACAAAATAGAGAGGAAAACAGACTAAAGTGGGAGCCTATGGCAGTGGCTTCGAGGGTTCTTTGGAACAGTAATGTACAGGATTTAATCTAAACCTGATAGACTTGGCGCTGAGTGAGCATACTGTACGAAAATCAACTCGTCTAAAACTTACACGTTACTCTTTGATGTGAACGATTTCTCCATCAGCGATTCCAGGGACAACCAGCGAATGGGAACACGAGCCTGTACAGCAGTCAATACAGCGACAAACAAAGAGAATTTCATTGGGCAACATTGACGGAGAAGCCCCCAAAGAAGGAATAAGATCTGCGAAAAAGCATGTGCCACGGGAGGGCCAAAAAAGTAAAACACTTGCAACAGGGAACAAACTTGAGCTTGCATTCGAAATTAATTACCTTAGTCACATAACTGTTTATGTCTTCTTCTCGTGACAAGCCACGATCAGATACCTTGGGAACCGCATTATTTGCAAGACGGATGTTTCTAGCCGACAAATCGCTGTGAATCACCTACCGAAACGAAGGGTTTCAGGGAACAGTTACATTAAATTAACTCTTGTTCCATCTTGAAGACGGACTTAAAGTTTCATAACAGTGGCTTTGTGGACCGAATCTTTGGTTATTAATACTCGCCCCCGTTGCGGCCAAATGTTGCATCCCTCTGGCAACGCCCAAAGCAAACTGTATCAGCTTCTCAGAGAGCAGCGGTTGGTCTTTCCACAAGGATCTTGCCTTTCTAAGATAGGAACGGAGATCGCCCTTTGGTGTATAGTCCACGGCTACATAGAGACTATCTGCAAAATTAAAGTATACAATATAATTATGAACCTATGAATTAATGATAAAAGTGAATATTAGTTCCACAAGTGATTATGTATGCAGAAAAATGGTATGTACACTTTTTGGGTTAAGTCATATTGGCAATCGAGGGCATTTTAAAGAACTAACAGTGAATTTATACCAATTCAACAACAGCGTCACAAACAAATGGCAAAAGCAATGGCCCCACTACTGCTTGATTCATGCTGGTACTTTTTAATAATGTCCTCCTATGTTTGCTAAATTAGTTGAACAAATTTCGTGGAAAACAGAAGCACTTCCAGTGTCGTCATCCAATTACATATTAGTTTCAAGCCACGAACAAAAGGCGCTTGACTTTGACTTGTTTGAAAGCACAATGGTACCAAATAACCTCATGTACCTTTATGTTGACACGCTCCAAGGATGCCGACAACGTTAGGGTGCCGTCCAGTCTGAGACAGAGCTCGTAATTCTATCATAAATATCTCGGTATCATTTGTAGAGGCATCCCCTGATAGCAAGAACAAATTTTTGAATGCTATATACAATAATATGTTAGAACAGAGCGAACTTAAATACGCTAATGAAATGGGCGGTTTACGAGAAACAAATTTGTATAGTCGCTGTGACTTGTTAATTTGTCCACAAAATTGACCTCAGAATTCTAAAGAAGCATTCAGGCTACACCAGGTAAATTCACCCCCCCCCAACAGCAGTCCTAGATACAATTCTTCACTGAATCCAATTGCATTGCACAAATAAACAAATTCAGATGTTAATAGTGTTTAACATTTAGCGGTCACTCAAAGGCCACAAGTTAAATGTACCTGCAAGTTTCTTAATAGCTGCTTTTGTGAACACGCCTTCTCTCTTCACAGCACCGTCAAGCACGTCACTAAAGTATCCGCCACCCAAGGCCTTCTGTCCAAACACAATATTCCCCCATGGAATGTTCCAGTCTTCGGCCCAATACGGCAGACCAATATCTGCATAGCTTGTGGATGAACCCGCGCCAGGGACAAGTGCAGAGCCCGATGATGGGCACACGTCGTCCTTCCGGGATATTCTCCTTTCGTATGCTGTCTGCAACAAAAAGGTAAACTTAGTGTTACGAAAAAAATGTCTTGTAATGAACGGTACTGAAACAATCCTGCCAATAATGATTGGTTTAGGTCTTATGACTGCCATAAATAGATCTTTACAAGCAGCGATAAGGCAAACTTAACACATGGGAGTTGCGAAGATTTTTTCCGGGGCAGCCCTTTCTTCCATGCAAGAAATGGAGGAGGCATGTCACTTCTGAACATTGAAACTGATACACGGGGGTATTTCCAGTCCAAAATTTGTAACACGCCGTCTTTTTTCATCTGTTTGCTTTTTTCACGTTGCAAGTTTTGATCTTCACTACTTCATTGGTGAATGGCCTATATAATAACGATGTATGATTTCGACTTAATTACCACCTGACCATGACCATTACTTTTGCTTAGAAGTAGTCATCGACCAAAGTCAAGTGAGACTTAGTACCTAAGGTGACCTTTGATTCCACTCCGTTTTTAACATAAATAAGGCAGGCAAGAAAAGGGATGTTTCAGAGATTTGACAAACTATGAATTGAAACATTACGTAAATTCTAAACTAGTCCTTTTAAAGGTGCAGTCCACCCGGCTAAACCCCCTTGACAAGCAATTTTTACATCTAATTTTTTTTTATCGTACATGAATGCCTTACCAGTTCCTGACCACCAGCTTGTGTCCTGCCTGGCTTTGAAGTCCGTCGTCTGTTATTGCACAGGCACACAACGGTAGTTGCCACAATTAGTAAAATTACACAAGCAAAGACTCCGCAAACAACTATCACAACAAGATTTTGCACACCTGCATTGTTCACAGTTAAAAGGAAAATGATAACATAGGTTATGAGAGAAATATGAATGAGAAAACATGGAAAAGGAGCAAACTGTATCTTGTATATCCCCCCCGAAAAAAATTAAAAAGAGACAAAAATTGAGAAAGAAATTTTTTAAAAGGATAAGGGAAGAAGGGGATGGAAATCACTTAGTTACTTGAAAAACTTCGACACCGACCATTTCTATCGTCTGTTAGTCATTAGCTTTTTAATTAGTATTGCTTTATGGGTTAGTTGCTGATGAGTAAAAAATCTTTCCCTGCGGAAAAAGTTCTTTGCCCCTCCCCCCAAAAATCTTGCAACACCCACGCCTAAAAGTCAAGAAGCACGTACTTTGAACACTGTGTAAAAGTTGTCCGTAAATCTGATAATGTTATCAATTCTAGCTCCCCTCACAATATTCCAAACTAAATGTGTAATTATAGCTTGCATCTCCTATCAAAGGAAATACGACCGTACCGGGTTCTGGGCTAGTTGATGCTCGCAAGGTAGCCATTGATTGTGTGAACATTGTAGTCCAAGATTCCATGACAGTAGGATTTTCTGTAGTTGAAGGGAGTGTTGCTAGGGGATATATCCAGGCTGATGCAGGACTCGTTGATCCTTCACCACCTCGTCCATCTCTCACAGCTGACACGCTAAACTGGTATTGAGTACCTGTTACCAGTGGTTGAACTACTAAGCTATAGGCAACCTGAGATTGGTCTCTTACTTGCACTTCGCCACCAACAGTCCATTCAACAGATGCGTTGGCATGATTGTAGTAGACAACGTATTTAATAATTGGTCCATCTCCAGAATCGGATATGTGTGATCCCCATGCTTGCCAACTTACGCTCACCGACGCTGGACCAGCATTGACTGAAGGAGGCTGGCCGAGGTGTGGTTGAACTACAGAGGAAACACTGACGGCGTTGTAGTTTGGTCATAACAATATCAACCAACATCAAGCACAGTTGTGGAGTGGTACTTTTATCTACAGGGTGTCATTAATTTTTAGCAATTCTGCTGAACATATTTCTGAGAGCAATTTCACAAAATGAAGTTATACAAAAGGTTCACGTACTTACCAAAGAAGGACACACTCAGCATTACTGATACACTTCTACTATTATGAGTAAGATAACAGCCGATCAGCAGACCGTCGCTTAGTCCAGGTACAGAGAATGTGTTGTTCAGCACACTGCCTTCAGTTGAAGTCGCTGATTGTAAGACCGCCAACCTACTGGATGCCACATATAGGAAAAGTGATCTTGCCAACAGAACATCCCCAGACGTAGCAGCACAGCTGAAATTTACATCCTGGCCTTGATTCGGCATTTTCAGCATTTTAAACTCTATGATGCCTGTTGAAACCAAAAGACACATCGTCGCATTGCTGGTTGAAAATTTCTGTTGCAATTGAATGACTAAATTCTAAGACTGCCAAACACCAATAACTTTCGTACACTTTTTGGTACCAAAACGTTGTCTCTACCACTCCATCCTGTGGCGTAAAGTTGTTCTCAACTCTGCTCTGAGTACCTATAGTTCTAACTATTAAAGGGGGAGAGAGCGAGAGTTCTTCAAATAACTACAAGGTGTAGAAACAATTATTTTTCTATAGATTTTAAGTACTTTTAACAAAGGTTTTCCAGATTTTTAACACTGTCAATTTTTTAAGATTGAAAAGCTTGTGTTGGGAACGGATGAATAGAGAGAAAAAAGAACTCGCAAAACTGTTTAGAGCCCTACCTGTCTGGCAGTTGTTCATATTTATATCGGACGTGAACCCCAAGTGACAGATTCCATTAGATCCACTGCAGTAGCCGCTATCTCTAACGCAGGCGGAGTTGTTAGCACAGTGACAATCATTTAGACAGTAAAGTCCGTAACTACCAACAGGACATGGAGCTGAACAGGAAGGTTTTCGAACATAAAAGATTAATCTATTGTGAACATGCATGGAAAGATAAGCACGAGGTACCAAACAGAGTTTGGCCTACTTTCACCCGATATGAGTTTCGCACTAGCACACTGCTGGAATCCGACACATGAGGTCGCCAAAGAAAGTCCTCCGATCCGTCCTATAGAACACATTATCTGAATTTTGAAGTAACTGAATTAAATAAAAACACAGTAATACATAGCATACAGATGTAAGAATAAAACAGATTTGTGACAGTTTTGCCATTGGTTTCACTTGGGTAAGGCAAGCGAAAGAAATTTAAGGAGACCGAGAGGATAACAACCAACAGTTACTGTATAAATTACCGTATACTGCTTTATATGTAATGTTATATATAATACATTGACTCTCTTCCCACTATTATCGGTTCATCAGTTTGAAGCTGACGAGTGCTTTGCCCCCAGAAATCCACCCCATGGAAAGAGTGCTCCCCCGAAAACATCGTGGCGAAGCCCAAGGGCTTACTGTCAGATTCTGGATACAAGAACAACAGAGTGGGTAACGAACTCGATATCCTCGAGAAAAATGATCCCACTGCAATGGTTTTAAACGGAAGCATCTACACGTGTCACAGAATTTTCTTCATGGTCATTCAAAATGTATGGTCCTCTTTTAGCCACTACCTTGCTCTGTACTGGTTGGCACGGGTCCCCCAGTCATCGATGGCGAAGGCACTGCTGTTGAAGACTCGGTAACTGGGCCTTTAGTCGTGGAAGGAAGTGTTGCAAGAGGATATATCCAGTCTGATGCAGGACTCCTTGGCCCTTCACCTCCTCGACCATCTCTCACTGCTGACACGCTAAACTGGTATTGAGTACTCGTTACCAGTGGTTGGACTACAAAGCTATTTGCAGGCTGGGTATTGCCTATCACTTGCACCTCGCCACCGACAGTCCATTCTACAGAAGCTCGCTTGAAGTACACAACGTATTTGACGACTGGCCCATCCCCAGAGTCAGTCGTGTATGATCCCCATGGATGCCAGGTAACAGTCACAGACGCTAGACCAGCAAGGACTGCTGGAGGCTGACTTAGGTACGGCTGAACTGTTGACAATAACAAGTTTTCAAACAAACGTGGCCTCATAATAGGTTAATTTAAAGGTAACTACTTCAGTAACTCACTAAATGGTACGATATAGTATTTTCGTTGAGATGGGAGTGTAGGCTACATAATGAATATGGTTTTGATAACTGTTTCAACCAAGCTGAAAAAAGACGTAATTTGTCACTGCAAATATTCTTAACAATACGCTTACCAAAAAGAGACACCCTAACATACGTCCACAGGCTTCCATTATGAAGGAGGTAGCAATAGACGTACTGATCGTCATTAAGTCCAGATGCAGAGAAAGTGTTATTCAGCACCTTCCCTTCAGTCACAGAGTCTGTTCGTGTGAATGATGTTGATGGATCGCCAGCAGCGAGGACAAGCAGGTTTGCTTGAAGAACATCTCCCGATGTGGCGGCGCAGCTGAATGTACCATTCTGGTTCAGGTTGGGCATGGTCAACATCTGGAGTTCAACGATTCCTTTGAAGGAACAAAGCGTACCACGATTGAATCGTTAGATTCCCGTATATACTGCTTGCTAGTTTAGCCTAACAAAAGTTACCATCTATTTGACAGTTGCACTATTTAATCAACAATTATGAAGTTCCGACCAATTTCTCGTAATTTCACTTTTGGTTAAAAATTTGTCATGGTTTTGGACTCAGTGTTGTGGTACACGAGAATCATTTGGGGGGAAAACAGATTTACACCAGACCTTGTTGCACAGAACTGAGACATTTTGATAAATTGGTCCAGCATGTAACACCATCAGAACGTGACACAGCAAAGGGGCAAGCATATGCCTCGAGCGCCAGGTGAAAGTAAGTTATACCTGTTTGGCAGTTGTTTGCGTTCATATCTGAATGGTATCCATCAGCACAGGCTCCATTAGATCCGCTGCAGTAGCCGCTATCTCTGACACAGGCAGCGTTGTTCGCACAGTGACAGTGGCTGAGGCAGTCTTGACCATACATGCCAGTCGGACACGTGCCTACTACTTCATCGTGACGTGCAATTTTGATAGAAAGACAAAGTTTGCATAAAGAGAAGAAAACATAATTGAATGACCTCGGGACAAAGAGCCTTTTGTTTGTCAAACTCATTTGATCTACTCATAGTTGTGTGACTAATTAAGAATTCTAACAGTCCAGCAGTAGTTTCCTTTAATTCCCTACTCCCTGTTAGGGTGAATTGATAGGAATTGACCCTATCACTTTTAAATAAAAGCATCATAAAAACAGTTCAACATTTGGACAGTGAGCTAGACTATAAGTCTTGACCTCTACATGGTAGATTTTCTCCTGTGACAAACTACAAAATTTGCTTTTCAAGAGCTGAAGGTCTGCCAGCACCACATGTTCCCGAGAGACAACATAATATTTTGCACGCTTAATCTTTGGTTGTAGTTGACGATTTTTTCTGTGGCAAAGCTCTTCACAAGATAATATTAAGCTCAATGAAATCACAAGCCATCAAAGAATCATTCAGCCAAATTCTCAGTTTGACAATGAAATGTCAAAGCCAGTCTTTGCTGCAGTAGTGAAAATTAATACACACCAGTTAATATTACTGGGATTGATAACGAAATTACAAGTGTTGATCATGACTAACCTACAATCCTCGTCCGAAAATTAGATATATTTTGTAAGTTAGAATGGTGATAACTTGCCTGATACGCTGCAATGACCGAGCAATATGGCCAGAAAAAAGAGAGCCCAATCCGCCATGGCAAGGCCTCCATGAACGCGGAAATCAACAGTTAACCGTGGTAAAATTCCAAGCATCTATGTGTTTGCAGTACTGTTTTGTCGAATCTACCAATGCCCGTCATATATCTTCTAAACTGTAATCTAACGCATAGTCACGGCCACCGCCTCTGAACAGACAGGTAAATCTTAGCTACGTCGTTTTCTTTAAATTAGCCAAGGAAAAGTGTAAGAAACTTGCAAACTAATGTTTAACAATAAATATTGAATGCATGTAAACTCTACTAGCACAATCACACCACTTTATGCCAAAGTTGATACGGGGGCCTAAAATAGCCACCGCAACAAGAATCTCACCAAGGGAAATAAACGAGGTAAATCAACCATCGAGAAAACAGAGGTAGCACCTTAAGCAGAAGCATATGCCTCGTCAGTAAGAAGTGGTAGGGTAGGGCGTGTTTAATCAAGGGCGGACTCAATTGTAGCAACGCAACCATAACCCACGCATTTCACAATCGTTCGTGAACCAGCGAAGTGCAGTTCCCATCGAAGGAGCTTCCATTACCAGGAAAATGGTTACCTCCCGTGGTTCTACCAGGGGATGTGTGTGCACTTTGGACGGAAGTCTGATGAGCACTTACGAGTTAAAACACACCTTAAAGGGCAGAAGTTAAATCTTGTCAAAAAAAAAATTTGTAAGCGTGCGTGCTTGCCTAATATGGGCCCACTCTCACGACTCAACGCAGTCCTTTAAGCATTGCATTCGAGCATTCCTACAGAAATGGCTGGAACATATCGAGGTTTCCTCTTGAATAATGTCAATGTTTGGTTCATAAATATGTTAATTTATAGCATAGAAAATAAGAAGGCCCTAAATTCCCTTGGTATGACTGAACGGAGAGAGAAAACAAGATTAAGTTGCACTCATTGATACATACGAATACGATGCACTACCCTCACGCAATATTTGCATCATTGGTTGTGGCCCTTCAGTCCTTCCGTAGTTGGGACGAGCCACGCTTGGTCGCACTCATATACAGGTGTCCTGATTTTGAACTTCAGGTGTGCACGATAGGCTGCGTGACTGTACATATTTACTGGCCCAACCCTAGCCTACGGGTGCAACGTGCGCCTTGCAAATGGGTCTTTGTTGTGAGTGTTCGAAGCATTTGAATGCAATAAATAGTACAAACTTTGGACAAAAGGTCAAGGGTGAAAATGCTCCCATTTGGCAGTGTGCAACAATTCGCTGGAAGTTTTGCAGTAGTATTTCTCAAATGTTGTCTTCACCACCAAAACTACAAAGTGAGCATCACATGGATCAAAGTTCCAATGGGTTTACCATCTCCTACCAAATGCAGTATCACCTTTCATTTTTAAACTTTGTCAGATTTTTATGCCTTTCTCTAAAAAAAGTTTGGTGACCCGGAAATAGCAGGATTTTATTACTGTGCATAACGCCCACGAAAATTGTAGCTTACTCCATGCCGCACAATGCACAATGACAGACAGGGGAGAATTGGGGAACTTTACGCTCAACAAGTACAGACATATCACAAAAGGCGAAGTTTACAAGCCTCTTGGCTGAAAAGATGACCTTTTTCACCTTCTGTAAATTTGAGATCTACCAACTGGTTTCCTTTCAACATGAACTGCGGTCCAGGAGTAATGTGTCTTTGAAGTCAGTAAATGAGGGGGTAATCGGGAAGTTTTCACAATTAAATCATGGAACCATCACCACCAACAACCTCCATCATATTACATGTGCTAATCAAGCAGACACTGGCATACAGCTCATGAGCGACCTGTATGCCAGGCTCACTATGTCCCCAGCCCCGCATTTTTGACAAATTGGCTATAAATGTAAACAATTTTCAAAGGAAAAATTGTGGATGAAAAACGTAATAGGCAATTTGGAGCCTACATTTCGATTGGTATTCCCTGATCATTTTCCGAAGTGTATAGGACAGCTCAGGGTAATTATAGTTTAATCTCTTTGGTTCTGCAGATGGCGTGTCTCGGAAAATTCAATTTTTCAGAGACTCTAAGATAATTTTCTTTCATCACTCTGATGAAGACACGCTCATTGAAACATTTCCCCTTGTTTCTATAGATAGGTTTACTCAGTTCTTGAGAATATTTAGAGGCACCTGTAATGGCTTCTTTGATGTTGCTCGCCGTTTGTCTAATACCGCGGTTGCAACTGGGCTTGGCAAACTTTGGTAAGATATGCATCTACTGCAGGTGCTAGGAAATGTTCCAAGAAACCACCGCAAAAATAATCGAGTGAACTCTTGATAAACATTAAAATTGATTGCATGAAGGAAAAAGGGGCTTATAATCTGGCAACTCCCCATGAACATATTACAATGAATGAGATAAATTCTGGGAGCACAATAAAAATATGTTTCAAGTATGTATAAGCACAGCTGGAATCACTGATCTCTGCTGCTGGCGTGGATGAGGGCGATCGCTCTTCATGCGGAATGTTATTCCATTAGGCGCTTGTAGCCAACGGCTGCCGTAAATTTTATTCCCACCGCCGCCCTCAAACAAGTGTCCGCTGTGGGTACTTTGTGATTGACATTCGCCATGATCATAGTGCAGCAGCTCTATGTAATCCTAACCTTATACGAATGTGGCAAAATGGGATGGACGTTTGAAACCTAAGAGATCTGTTACTGGCCATGCGCACTTCACTCAAAGAAAAAAAGCTGGACCAACCTGACGGGACCCTCTGATCTGCCTGTGTTTGTTTTACGTTTTCATTGTACGCGCTTATTTTCTCTGGGTGTTTTGGCTTTTGGCGGTGCTGCATTTGGAAAATGGTCAAATATCCACAATTATTAATTCATTTATATTATTCTTTCATTTTTAGTATACAGCCATCAAAGCTAAAATGTCATGCCACAGAAAACAGTGAAAATCAACTCAATAACTGAATTTAGGGAAACTAAAAACACTGGTTTAATTGTTTATGTGCTATTGAATTGGTTATCAAAGGTTGAATTTAAACAGTTCATGTTTAAAATCCTGAAATGGTCATTGGTTATTTTGGACAGAGACACGCCCTGTCGGGCTTGACCATTTTCCAGGTCAAACACGACCTTCTGTGAGGTCATTGCTACCTTTCTGGGGTCACAAATGTCATTGCTGGTCCAGAAAGGTTTATCTTAGGTATAAGGTATAAGCCCCAAGGTACAGTATAGAGTATACAAAGCTCCAACAAACTCTACGGAAAATAGGCATAGGCCTAAAGGTTTACATTCAGGGCGTTCAGAGAAATAGGCCCAAGAGATACAGGAGTGGAATCCATTGCTTCATCCATCTTTAAGTCTTTAATTAAATTGATTGGGTTATGTTCCTCACGCGCAAAATCGGTGCAATCTACAAGTTGATCATATATTTTCTACGCCCGGACATGGTTGCGTGACGTGCCTCTTCCCGAATTTGCGGATGATCGAACATCAGGTAAGTCGGGCCTCGGCCAGTTATATTTGTAAACCTCTTCTAGAGCTTTACAAAAGGATTGCGACCGAAGTTCACGGGTGAGACAAGGCTATCTGACGATCTGTCATCAAGTCAAGTCAAGCTTGAGCGAAACTGGATGTAGCCCAACAACCCATCCCCGTTTCCTTAACCATGACATGATGCTATGCATGCACACTCTATGTTTTTAAATTTCAGTTGATCATTTCCAGTTCGAGACTTCCACCTACACAGTGGATGAAGATATTGGCACGGCAACAGTCTATGTACTACGGAGTGAACCTCGTGATCCAACAAGTTCGCAAGTTGGTAAGTGATCACTTATTCAGGTTTATAAAAGGCAAATATCGATGCCTCTTGCCTCTTAGGTAATTCCAACCCTAGGCTAGAATGTTTCGTGACAGCGGGAATTTCACGTTTAATTCGGATGCCACGATCATGTGGGGGATTAGTCAATCTTTTTTCATGATAACTTAATAATGCCCGATTCAGCAAGTCTTGTTTTCTTTCTATCAACGGTTGCGGACGGAAACCTTCCGCTTTACAAGTAGAAACCTCACTGCGTTAACGATAGTGCGATACGATCATTAACATGATATACCGCCGCCTCTTGGTTTGAACGTTATATTGCGATATTATACTTGAAGTCTTGTAATAAAAGGAGGTATAGTACGTAAACGATAAAACATACTGGTCTGTTACCGTTACTTTACGGTCTAAAACAAGGAACTACGGAATGCAAAAAAATGTTTCCCACATTACTCCGTCCTGGAAGTTGTTGATGCCATTGTTGGTCGTTCTTTCATTCCAGATGTTATGACTTCTGATGGTACAGCTGTGAATGGAATCGATTATGTAGCGACCACTGCCACTCTGAACTTCACATCAACCACCAACCGAGTGCCCTTTACTGTTGCAATTATAGATAATGGCGTAGATAACAATGATACCAACATACACTGCTTCAACGTCAGCTTGACCAACCCAAATCCAAACTCTGCCCTTCTTGGCCCAGACGCACGCAAGTTTGCATCAGTGACATCTCTTGAGCTTAAATCGTACCTTTGCCCCAACTGGGTGCATGAGTTTCGGGGTCAAGCGTGCCCTCAAATGTTGGTGACGGTTTTTTACACCAACGTACTTATTTGAGGAAAATCGATCAGTCATACTTGCTGTATTCATCGAAACTATTTTGGCAAATCGAAAAAAAAAATATATATATATATATACATCACGCCCACGCCCCTGTAATTCAAACTTTTGTTCATTTTTGTTAAAGTGAAAAGTGTGTGTTACCATACTTATTATTTATTAAGTCTGTTTCAAAAACTTTATTTTTGGTTTTTTTTTAAATATGGGACTTCAGTTTAGTAAATTGTTTATTGTCGTTAACAACAACAATTCGTTTTGGGCCAAGTTTCCAGATATCACTATGGCTTACAAAATGCCTAAGGTCACCACACAGGAAGTTGTAGATCTCTGGCATACAGACCATATGTTATTTTATCAAAATCAAATTAATTTTGCAGTTTATTGCGCTACAACCGCAAGTGGGATAGACTTTGCATTGTTGATCCCGACCCTTACGTATCTGCTTTGATGACCTTTTACGTCTATCACACTGTTCGAAAAGTAATATCACGTTGTAAGTTTTCACTACCGAGTGAACCCAAATTTGACCCACTAATGATTACTGCGATTATGATTCTTTTATTGAGTCTACGTTGATCCAAGCAAACATTTTAGACAAACTCGTGACCCTTATTCAAATGGTCTCGGAACTGCTTGGTATTTGGACATTGTAGGTCTTAGTAAACACGGAACTCATAATTATCTCCCTGTCCCTGGGAAAAACTACGATCCACAACCTGTGTACAACGAATATTATGGTCTCAAGGGTAACCTAATGGGATTTCATTGACAACCTGTGGGTTCAGGTCTCTCGTTGAAATATATAATTGGTTGGATCGAACAAGACGACAACGTTAAAACAGCTTGGCAAGACTTTATTCCTCACAAATGAACCAAACTTACAGATGTAGGATATACTCATAAAAATTATTCTATTCGAACTTTCGTTTGGTCATTGTTCGGAGCTCAAGCTGATCAGTGTGTTAACAAAAGGAACTGGATTAGATGCCCAGATTCAATGTATCACTAATGTTGAATAAAAAAATGCTTAACCAAACTAAAAGGATCTACTGATGACTATCAAAGTTCGCCTTAAATTGCCCGGAGTCATTTGAATCGTGTCATAAGACCAGGTTTGTATCTAATTCAATCGGATATGAACCTTCGATTTGGAACGACTGAAGGATGTAACAACAACATTCAAATCGCAACACCTGACAAGCACTTTGGATATCATCTGGAAGTTATCACAAATGAAGAAGTTAACATAAATGATCATGATGTTAAAGAAGTTGATCATGATATTAAAGAAGTTGATCATGATGTTAAAGAAGTTGATCATGATGTTAAAGAAGTTGATCATGATGCTAAATAAGTTGATCATGATGTTAAAGGAGAAATCCTGGGTATCAAAACAACTAATCAACTGCAGTTACCTCCAACCAAAAACCAAAGATACCTATCAAGATGAAAAAAAGCACTAACATTTGGTATGCTTTGCATTTCGCTGGCTTTAATTTGGTTTATCAGATAATTCAAATTTATACAAATTCATATCCAGCTTCAAATTGAAGTCGAGATATTTATAATTTATTTTTTAGACATGGGTATATCGGCATATACTAGTTATTAGACATTGGTATACCTGCATATATATCAGTTCTATTTATAATTTATGCTTAGACATGGGTATATCGGCATATGCCAGTTTATGAGTAATTTATGCTCACACATGGGTATATCGGCTTATTCTCCAACTATATGTGCACAAGCCACACATTGACACCATGTTTTGGTTTTTGGCAACGATTTCGAGCGGCAGGTTTATTTGTTTTTGCCGATTTCAAAGCCACTTTCTATTGCCACACTTGGCAGAAATTCTGGAAGATTTTCTTGGCACAGTTGCCAGGCTTGCCACACTTGGCAGAAACTCAGGCACAGTTGCCAAAGAGATACTAGCCACACTTGGCAGAAAAACAGAAAGAAACTCGCCAAAGGCTTGCCACACTTGGCAGAAAAAGGCAAGGTTGTTAACTGAAAGACTTGCCAAACTAGGCATAGCAGGTTGGAATTCCTTTGCACACTTGCCATGCAGACAAACCCCGCCGGAACTAGTAGGTGCTTGTCTTAAATTATTTGTCATGTGATTCTATTTATCATTTACAAATTAAGAAAATCTTACATAAAGCACGCCGTTTTTCAACCGCTTGAACAGGCGGTTGGAATAAGCCCTACCAGAACAAGAGGTTGCTTGGCGTAGTGTTTAAGAAAAACAAAAATGAAACATTACTAACAACTAATTTTAGGTTATAATCACTGCGAGATAAGTTGCATAAATTGTTTATTTGTTTACTTCGTAAACTGCGTGTCGTTCCCAGGTAGTTCCTGCCATTGAACCAGTAAAAGCTAAATTTATAATATATTATATTATATATATTATAATTTATAATATGATATATTTATACATACAATTACAATGGAGATGGGGAGGTGGTGGGTTAAATTTGTGTGCTGCCGCCTCGAAAATCTAAGCCGAAGTGGTCCATTTTTAGAGCCAAACTTGCTGCGGTTCAACATTTATTCCCTTGTGGCCTTCTGGCTTCACCCTATTACTCCCCTCAGACAGTTTCAGGTGTCTGGGCCCAAAGGAAGTACTACATTCTCTGAACCCTCTGAGGCCTCTGCAACCACTTAGCTGATCCCATGAAGCCAGCTAGTGCAAGACAGTCATAGATGAAACAGTAGCGCCTTGTTCACCACGGTATAAGCCAGATGACCACGGTTGTTTCAAAGACTAAACAACGTGTTTTGTGGTGAATAATGCATTTTATCCCAAAGCGATAAAATAAACTATTACACGTTAAGTAATTTATACTTTCTATGTTTGCATTACGAGATATTTTTTTTTGTGCATTTATATTTATGATGTCCATGTTTACAAGTAGTTCCTGGTTATTTTCTAAACATCTCAAGCAACGTTTACTAATTGTTTGGTTCAGTTTTAATTTAAACTCAAGGCTGACAATGGTTTTTCATTAAGGCGATGGCTACACTTATTATTTTTTCTAACATAAAAAAATTTGAAACCTTCATAAATTTGGGTTGGGTAATTTCCAAAAAAAAAAAAAAAAATCTCAGGGAGATGGTGCTATTTTAGGGTTGGTTACGCTACGCTTCAGCTCCGGATAAAAATTGGTCCAGTTCTCTCCTTTCTTCACTACTCGTTGTCAGTTGGGAGAAACGGGACCCTTTTGGCCGCGATAGATATTCCTATTGTGCAAAAGGAAATAAACAAAATGTATCTGGGACTAACGTAAATCCAGACAATAATGTCAATTCAATTCTCTTGCGAACTCGTGGTTTAAAATATTACAATTCACGAACAAACGCATCATATATAAGACCATTTCGAATATATAGATGCCTGTTGACGTGAAAATGGGTTATGCAGTCTAGTTTTCTCAATAAACATGTTTTTGCCTACCTTTACCCAACAAATAAGGGATTCAGTCATGTTAACATGAAAAGCCACGACGCTGGAAACGCGTGCGAATACTGTTTCACCTCGTTTCTCTTTGGACGACAATTCTTAATTAACAGGTATGTATCATATAATACTATGCTACAGACGTACTACATTTATAGGCATAACTTACCGGATTACAAAGGAAAAATGGGTGTTGTTTGGGGCGTCGACATCAGATTGTAGGAAAAAAGGTGCCGTCTTTTACCCTACGTTTGACTTTTGAAAGGTAACAGTCTTTTAAAGTCACGACTGAACTATGGGGGCGTTCTGCTGCCCCCATCTGTCCCCAAGCACGTCTTTTTCGATCCCCACAAAATAGGTGAGGTAACGAATCTTCAATATTAATGTATCATTAAATTGTGCAATTAATTATAATACATATAAACCTGATACGACTTGAATTCACTCTTGACATGCATAATTATATTATACGTTAAATAAAACATAACTTTACAAGGACTCAAGGGCCTTTCGCAAAATCGTCTGAAGGACACACGCACAACTGAGTACCTTCGTCAGGGCAAGCAGACTGGGTACCTTTGTCAGGGCAAGTAGGCTGGGTACCTTCGTCAGGGCAAGCAGGCTGGATACCTTCGTCAGTGCAAGCAGACTGGGTACTTTCGTAAGGGCAAGCAGGCTGGATACCTTCGTCAGTGCAAGCAGGCTGGGTACCTTCGTCAGGGCAAGCAGGCTGGGTACCTTCTTCAGGGCAAGGAGGCTGGGTACCTTCGTCAGGGCAAGAAGGCTGGGTACTTCAGGGCAAGCAGAACTAAATAACAAATACTGCAAGTGCAACATGCGTATATCTCAAGTCTTTGCGTTCTCTGCTTTCTGTTCCTTATGGTACCAGCTTTCCACCAAAATAAGGAAGACCCAAAGATTGGGCTAACTGCATTATTGGAAGGGGTCACAGAAGAACAAACATTAGAATTTGTGTTAGTTATTTGTATCCTTTAAAAGAGTTACAAATTTGTAGAAGTATGAGATTATTCTTTTTATAGTCGGATTAAAACAGTACAATTACGTCCATAATGAAGAATTATGCTGAAGTAAAATTAAATTCAACATAAATATATTATCTAATCATCAGAATATATAACAAATTTACAATATAATGCATTTTATATTGTTGATACATAATACATTTCAAAGAACAGAGATAATCCTACACTAAAATTATTTTATGATCCAGGTTGATAAAACGTAACCACGCGTGCGCTCTCCAATCACTTGAGGCGATACTTCGTTAACCACAGACACCGTCGTTAATAAAGTGCAGTGCCATAGCAAGCCTGCAACTAGTCGGTCGCCATAATGTTGGGCGTTCTGCTTCTGTATGTGATACTACTCAGTGGAGTGGAGAGCAACTGGGATGCTGGGAACAGTGATCTATCAGAACAGCATTTGGTGAATATCCTATCGTAGAGTTTTTTCATACTCTAAGTATGGCGTTCATAGGAAAGGATAAAATGTTATGAAAGAGCTGGATACCCATCATTATTGACAGACAGTCCTACTGTATTTTGTAGGCGCACCGTATACAGCTTGCAAATGCAGATCTACGTTTGGCTTTGGTTTTTAACCAATGCAAATTGATTTAACAGTAAAAAAAAAGCAATTCCAAAACTAATGTGGAGTTTTGTCAGGTGTTTGTGTGCTTTTATAGGAATGGCTCAGTGTTTTAACTGGTTTTACCTAACTGGTAGATCACAGACAATAATCATTTGCTGGAAGGGTTCAACCTGTACTTTTTGCTTGCTGGGCCGAACCATATATATGTAGATAAAAATATTAATACAGACAGAGGGTAAAGGTGACCCTCTCCCTGAACTAAAAGGCTTATGGGGCGATAACATTTCCTCTGAACATCCAATACATTGCTGGATTGGAGAAACGGCAGGCCTAAACGCTTCTTGCTGCGATTAGACACATTATGCGAACAGAAGTGTATCTTTAAGGACACTGAGGCAAACAAAACGCTTTTCAAACTCGAGATGAGTTAGAATATGTTTTTATGACAAAATTACCCATTAATAACTGTTAATATTCATGCTTACAATCAGCATGATTTCCCCACAAATCTGACCCTACGTTTACTCCACAAAGTAGGGATTCAGCCATGTTAACATGACATGCAACGATGCTGGAAACGTATGCCAACACTGCTTTACCACGTTGTTCTACGGACAACGATTCTTGGCAGGTATGTATCTGATTAAAACCGTATACCGCATACAGCGGGGCATTAAGTACACTAGTTTTTAGAAAAAAAAGGTAATAAAAAGCAGCACAATCTGGGAGACAGTGATTTCATGCTGGTCTATTTAGTTGAGCCAATGCACTCATCAGCGGCAAACCAACTACTAAAGGTCAAAAAGGGGTCCATTACAAGGTACTGTATTCGCGGCGTCCCCAATTTCAGTCGTATCCCTGAACATACAGTATCAATTTGATACCCGTGATGGGGTGGAACCAGGTGATTTTAGGGGTTGGAATGAAATCGTAGAATAAAGTCTGGTTCTTTGAATTTAACTTTTTCAAATAAATACTCTACGTTGGGGAATACGACTGAAATTGGGGACGCCGCGAATACGGTCAATGGGACTTCATCTTTCCTCCTTTCAGTTTGTACCAACCTCGTCTCCAGCTGCTTCTAAAAATTACGCTCGCTACTTAGAGAGCAGGTAGCCACGGAGACGCACTGCTCGACATCATGGGGACGAGGATGGGTTTGCACATTGCGCTAAATGCCCACCAGCGACGAAAAAAAGCAGTTTTCAAACACTCAGCTTTGACTCTGTCTGATGTTTTGTCTCTAAAATCAATCTTCAGATGTAGGTCCACGGGGTTCAAATTAAATTGAAATACTCAAACAGTTTGCTCTGTGCCACCTATACCCTGCACCACCAAGAGGCAGATAATACGAGGAGAGTATATTTAATCAAGCAGCCTCGACAACGCTCTCCACTTGTTACAACTTTAATACATGGGCAAATGAGCGGGTTTCATGTGATTTCCGACACAGTATCTGAAAACTAATGAATGAATGAAACAAAAAGGTTTGTAAAAGAAAAAAATTGACGGAAGCTGCCATCGCAGGAACACTAGTTCGTATAATCTGACAATATTTATTAAACAAAAACGTGACCCTGCAAATTGCTCTATTTAAATAGAGTGTAGGCATCAGTTTTCAAAATTTCGATGAGTTCACGACTATTTATAGGGATGGTAATCTCTTGGTATAAACATTGTCAAAGGCCATTTGTTAAGCCACCAAAACTGAAGGGAAATGATAGATGAAGAAAATATCTTGAACACTTGAGAAACTTGTAAATATATTTGCCAATCTTTGAAGTGGGGATATTTATCGCTGTTCTGCAACCAATTGCAGTTACTGAAATCACCAGGGAACCTTACAAATTCCAGTTCAGCGTTCATGAGGGAAACCGAGACCGGATATGGTACTTCACCCAGGGTGAGTTTGGTGCCCAATTTAATTGTATAAAGATACACAGGGAAAGAAACACCTGTAAATGGCTCAATTTAATTTGAATGAAAGAACTTCAAAGCTGAACTTCAATCGACCTGCCAACATTTGAACTCGGGAGGAATCGAGTTCCAGAAAAGAAAATGGGAGTGTAAAACACTGTAGTGAATAAAGAACTGAAGATTCCTGGGTTTATTTGGTACTTTTCCTTTTAATTCCCAGATGACCCCGGTGAGGAGTATCGGTGGTGCGAAACACCTCACGTTGAACCGAGTGAGGACATTCCTGTGGCGTATCGATACACTCTGTGCTTCCAAAACATCTTTGCCGGTCTCTCCATACCCTCGGGCTGCAGAAGGCCTGTGGCCGTTGTCACGCACGACAGTCACAATTACCACCAAGAAATTCGTGGTCAGCAGATTCTATTGTGTCTCCCCTAGTTTAGAATGTTCACCTTAGCGCAGAGGGTAATTTAGAGATCTTTTAAGCGTTAAATAATTGTATTGCCAACGCTCAGAGTTCTTGGATAACCAGTGAATATGAATCAAGCGTAGTGCCATTATGGACCGAGTCTTGCACAAAGTTGCACATGACGTTAATGTTGCCAAAGTGCATTGCAATTTGAATAAGCATGCTCATTGTGCGTGCACCTTTAGGAAGAGTATGGTTCAAATGTTATTATCACACAGGCATTAATTAATGGTATGATATAAACACCTGTGTCAGGAGGTGTGGAGTTTTGAACGTGCGTGTTGCGTTTACAATCGAACTCCGATAATAAAATGATGCACGTCAACATGCTTATGTCTGAGGTCTGTGTATTCTCTGTTTTCTTTTCCCAATGATACAAGGTTCCCACCATAATAAGGAAATCTGTAAAGACCCCAAAACCCTCGTTGTTAGGTTTGACTGTATGACTGGAAGGATTTGGCATCAAACAGTCGAATGAAAATCAGAATTCCCTGAAGACCGTGGTACCATAAAACACGTTCGTCCTAAAGCAAATTTCAAAATTCGTTTTGTTAGATATGGCTTGACTTCCGTTTAATCGGTGGATCTGTCGAGGTGCCGTCCAATCGCGAGACCTCTGGACAGGCCGCTTACTTGAGTCGCAGAGTATTCATTGAACTTTTGCATGAGTAAAAAGCCGTCAACGGATGCGGATACAGCAATGATATGAAAAAACTACCAGTAATTGTATAAAGGCGGCTTTGTTTACTAGATAGGCATCTTGGCTGCTGATAAGATCCAGTCCATATCCCGGCTCAGAATGGCACAAGTGCTCACAGCAGGGGCTTTTTGCCAGTTGTAAAATTGAATGTTGCCCCATTATAGTATTGATCTCTACTGCGGCTGCAGTGGAACAACCGTTGACTGAGGGCGCAAGCCTTCAAAGCTAATACTACCGACTGAAATCCAGAAAAGTTGAAATTATGGATGAGTTTCTGCTGATGTGGCGTACGTATAGATTATGACGCATAGATTATGACCATCTATGCGCAAGCCGCACTGCATTTCCAACTTTCAAACAAGAGGCCACCCCGGGAATGGACTGCCGTCCGAGGAAAGTGCCCCGTGTTCCCCGTAGTTACGCCACTCATCATTACAACAACGTTTGGATGTGGATTTTAGTGCACCCATATCGTAGGGGAAGGAGTTGGGACTACTGTTGCCCTGGTTTAAGGTCTGGGGGATCGACTTATATTACACGCTGGATAATATAGAACGCCACTGTGAGATCTTCTGCACCGGCTCGTTTGCCAGTAGCGTAAATCTGTGTTGGAAATTGGGGATATGGGGAAAGAGGGGGAGGACTTGCCCGGCCATCATGGGACTTTGAAAACCGGGGGGGGGGATGTATGCACTATATAGGGGCAATGCTCATGATAAGTAGGCCTACCTCTGCAATGTGTATCATATTCACACAGAATCTTACATCAGAATGGCATACGGCTTTCTAAAGGTTCCCGTTTTAGTAATATATTGCAAACATTTTAATCGTAATTAGGAAATCCTGAAAATTCTTCACAATCCGCTGTAATTCTTTTGCTCATCACGAAAATTGGGGGAATGTATTAATTCATTAGTCCACCCCCCGCAAACAGTGGGGGATATATACCCCTCTCCCCCGGATTTACGCCCATCACCTTGGCTATTCCTTGGTTGGGTCTCTTTATTTTGGGACTCGCAACTTGTGCCAAGCTCCCCCCCCCCCGAATGTGGATGTTAGAACACAGCTGTCCCAGAAGGCTGTAATTACCGTTCCTGGTCCCTGGACGAAATTTAATTACAGTCAAGGTCCAGTCAGTCCGACTTGAGCAAAACCTCCAGGGACTTGTTGAGGTCAACACATATAGTATCTTCTGAATTCTATGAGAATCACGAGCAAACAAATTTTTGTCATCGATGTTTTACCAGAAAAAAATTCTGACAAATAAGAGAAATCTGGGGTCGTACACTGATTTCAAAAATCCCGATCATCACAGTGTTATCCTCTGAATTCTTAACAATTGGTATTCGCAACCCCCAACTTCACCCCTACCCCATACCAAAGAGGTACAATAATTGGACCAGGCTTGGCGCCCCTGTATAGCATTTAAGCACGTCATAATTATGCCCCCCCCCCCGCCGTCCTTGGGGCAAAGCGTCACACAAGGACTGGAAATCATTCTTGAATCTGATGATCACCGTCACTGGCACTTTCAGTAACTTTCATCTGTAGGCCCACAGGCCTCATGTCATTGCCTAATATGTCATGTTGGCTGTCGCACGAACGTCTTGTAGGGTTTGAGGTTTGCTAGTGTGGCTCCCGCCTAAGTCTCCAGTTTGTTGTTTCAAACCTTGATTTTAGGAAAACTGGAAGTTTGGAAGTTAGCGAAAAGCTTTTGAATGAGCCCCAGCTATCGACACGGTTTTGGAAATTACAGGCAAGCCCTATCGACACGGTAAGTCATAATTGCTGCCGTACAAATAGCGTTTGGCCAGATCACGCAGACCAATGTAGTGCCGCCTTAGTTTTATTGGATTCCGTCAGAAGTACATATTGTGTCCAAAAATATTAAAGATTACTAGTCTAGGGAATAGTTTTAGCATTTTTGTCAGTTTAGCTTACGAAAGAGATTCATTCTTTTTCTACCACCATGGTCAAGGTTGCGGATGAATTTATTATGTGCACAATGTGACGTCATCATAAACTGACTGTATGGTTCCCTACTCACTTACCGCTTGCTCCGTGCGTACGTATATATGGAGGATTGGAGGTCCCGTAGAAGCCCGTACAATATTGACATCACACACGCATTTTACTTGGTCATTGTGCGTAGAATTCAGACGGAGTTGCGAAACCTTAGGGAATTTTTGGCTTTTTGTTTGATGTTGTCTCAGAACAGAGTGCGGAAAGATGCTCATTACACTGAAAACGCTGCAACAGAAGACCTTCAAGGTGGAAATTGACGAATCATTAACGGTATGGTATTTCTATGATTCACGACCATGTCTAACTTTAATACTCTAACCATCAATACCAATCCATGCTAACTTTAGGCCCAACTTAAAGCTGAAAATTGTCACTTGTTACATTGTTAGTTTTAATTTGATCAGAGCCAGCATAGGCCTAGATAGGATGGCCAGTTTTCGGGCGAGTCCAACCTGAGGCTGAGGGAAGGTTGGCCATAGGAATATCGATGTTTTGGAAAGTTGATTTCCAGTCAACATGGTCAACAGGTCAAGTTTGAAGTTGGACAGTGTTAGACGTAAACCATCTCCTCAAGCATGTTAAGCCTTCAGGTATTAAGGCTTAGGCTTAAACCTTATTCCTAGTAATAGTCCACATGGGTGATTTTGCGTCACGGTGGAAAGGTACTGTGCGAAGGAAAAAGGGGTAGTGCCAACGTTTGCTCCTTTTTCCTTCTCACAGTGCCTTTCTACTGTAACACAAAATCACCCATGTGACAGTAAGAAGGCTTAGCTTGCAGTTATACTGTAGAGGCTCAACCATGTGAACTGGGATCCAGACCAACTTAAACCTTAGACTAGGCCTAGTTGCAGAATACGCCGCCATTCGAAAAGACCCCTGAAATCATTGGTTATGTGGGTGTGACTACATGTAGGCCTGTGAGGTGAAGATCCTTGTGAAAGTAGTGTGACAGTTTGACCTTGTGAGTCGTAGCCGGTAGCGCTTGAGTCATAGCCGATTATGCGGTTTGATTATGTGGGTTGGTGGGACATGACCTGATGACCGGTACCCAGAGCTGTAATGCACTTAAAAGTTAAACATGGCAGTCATGGCAGTTAAAAATTTCTTGTCATGCTTGTGTGCCACTGCTAGGCAGGCACTGTCTAGTTACATAGCCTCTAGTACATGCATTTCCCTAAGGGAAGATTGAGCTGTTTTCAGGCGGCGATGTGTACGTAAACTTCAATCTTTGCTTATACTTAGGGGATGCCTCTGGCTGACACAGGTACTTGTACATGACAGGGTTCAGTGCATGGTACCATCAAGAACTTGGCAAATTCACTCCTTTCAAACAACAGTATATTTTGTCAACTCTGATCCTCCCTAACTTTCTCTGCCCCTGCATCCCACACCAAATGCGACATGAACCAAAGTTTTTTGGTCTTTGCTTGGTATGACGATGAGTTTAAGTGTTGAAGTCAATATCGTGTGCACATGATGTCAGTGAAGTAAGGGTATGTCAGTCTAAGGGCATTTTCAAAACAACTGGATTTTGCTTAGACTCGGTATTTCCATCCATTTTGAAGCTGCGTTCGAAACCACATGTTGAAACTCTGACAGGAACCAGTAAAACTGAAGTCTAAGCTGAATCCAGTCCTTTTGAAAATGCCCTTTAACTAGGAATGCGTGCAATGCAATATTCCCTAGCCATGTATTGTACCTGGTAAACATACAGTAACAGTTTAGTCAAGCAATTGACCTGAGCACCTGACCAAGTAATTCCTGAGTTGTTGGTTTCAGTCAGAAACGTAACACATGTCTACAGTCACTAGCAACTCCTTATGAACATGTGTATTATTCCTACTGTAGCTGCATCAAGTTGATTTTGGGACATACCCAAGCATGTCGATGTTGTTTCAACAGGTGCTTACCACACTTTGCTTTACTATGCAGAGAGAATGTACAGAAACAAGATTGCAAGCTGCATTTTTCTTTTAACCCTAACTTTCCCCAACCACACAGAATTAAACAGTAGTAAAGTGTTTAATTCTGTGGGGATAGGTCTGGTTTGCCCAAACAGCTGGCTTTTGCATTGGGTTTGGCATACCTCAGAAAAACTAAGTCCAACAGCCTCTGCACTAAGTCCCATATGGGTGTTTAACTTTGTGTGAATGGGGAAGGTTAGGGCCAGCAACCCTTGGGGGGTTAGGGTTAATGCACTTTATTGAGAAGGGTCAGACATCTTTTTATCAAAAAGGGTCAACCTATGTCTTGTGTTTGCATGTGTTCAGCCTGTATCTTTCGCTCAGAGACTCTCATACACGGTGGCGAGAACCCAGGTTTTGGGTTTGGTGTAAACATGTTGTGTAAGCCTGTGGCCAAAAGTAATACATGCACCTTATCCAGAGTCTCATGATGCCTGTCTGTAGAGAGAGCCTGCTTTTGTTGTGGGTTTTGCAGTGGTTTCACTTTTAGATGTGCTTCACAGGGGTTAAAAAAATGCATCCGTTGCTACCAATGCATTTCTTTTTTCTAATGAATTTTGTGACCGTTTTCCACTTTGAACGTCTTCTGCCTTCAGGTAAAAGCATTGAAGGAAAAGATTGAGGCTGAATCAGGAAAGGACTTCCCAGCGTCTGGACAGAAACTCATTTATGCAGGTAATTTGCTATACATACAGGGCTGCATTTAGTCCTGAGAGAAGCAATGGTGTGATTTTGTTTCCCTGAGTTAGATGTTCCAATTTATAGAATATTTTCTTGAGGTTTCAAAATGGCATCCCATCCAAGTCCTTCCAAGTTGGCCATGGAACTTCCAGCCTTGACAGGTAGCACTTGATTGCACTTGCCTCTAGTCTTACATAAAGGGTTGTGCCGTAAAATTCAGAATTTGTCAGGTTACCGGTACCTGAAGCAGAACTATCAATGTTCAGCAAGTTTAAAGGCATTCTTGATTTGTTTTCCCTGGAATGAAGGTAAAATCCTCAATGATGACCAGACGATTAGTGACTACAACATTGACGAGAAGAGTTTTGTGGTGGTCATGCTGACAAAGGTAGGTGTATATTTTTACCGCTTTTTGTGTTGTCTTTGGCATTGAGGCAGTGAGAAAGTCTGCAACAGAAAAAATTAAATGAGTCAGACACACACTGATTACATGTTCACTGGTGTTATCAATAGTATGTTGATCACAATTTGGTTGCATAATTTTCTAGTGTGTAAGGCATTCTCCTTTCACCACTGTGGCCAGGGTTCAATTCCCCGCCCAGACTACCTTTGAGTAGGGTTCTACTACGCTGAACAGACATCTACCTGGGGAAAATAAACAGGGTGATTATTAAAATTAGTTCAGTGTGAGCCATCAAAGTGCCACGGCAGTAATTGCATTCATTTTTCTTCTCTTGTAGCCTAAGCCAGCCGCTAAGACAACAGAGCCCCCCCTGCAAGAAGCCTCGGCAACGCCCACTGCGGCTGCCTCAGAAACGCCGTCGGCAGCCCCAGCCGCAGACACCAAGACAGCGGAGAAACCAGCCCAAGAGAAGAAGGACGATGCACCAGCTACTACCACAGCAAGGTGCCGAAAATGAGCCAAGTGGAGCCTTGGGAGGATGGGCTCCACTGGCTAGTGGGGGGAAGGGCAGTTGAGGTGGTGCCATGTCAGTCAGACCTTGTCCCACGCTCTCATTCTTTGGAAAGATGCCCAAGGCTTAAATCTTCAGTGGTCCTCAAATCCTGACACGAATCTCAAACATTAATCATGAAACAAAGCAACTGTGCCATGTTTCAAGTAACCATTGTCATCAGTTCAAACTTCACACTGTCTAGAAATGAACACACAGGTGAATCACCTCCTTGAACTACGTATTGCAAATGAACAAGAAGTATCAAACACTGTTTACTTTCACAGATGACAAAACTAACTCTGGCCAATTTTTCATGCGTAAAATCTGGTTCTGATTCTTGTGACCCAGACAGCATCATTTTTTGGCCCCTGAATATATGAATATAGGCTTAGTTCAAGCCTCCGCACAATCTAAACCTGAAAGTGATGCCAAGTGGAAAAGAGTGTTCCAAAAACTCTAGTTGCCTGCCTGCTTACAAAAGAGGCTGAGAAATAAGCACAAGTAATCATAATAAAAAACTGAAGGTTGCATTGTGTGATGGATTTTTACTCAAAGGTGAAGGTGTTCCAGTAAATCCATGCACTTTGACTTTGATAATGTTCACACACTAAGTGAAGTATTTAAAAAACGATAGGTATGATCTTCTCGTATGCACGTTTTTTCTACTCAGTTCATCTTCGACGACGACGAGTACCAGTCAGGCTGCAGGCACATTGAGTACTGCTGAGTCCATGCTGGTTACCGGTGCTGAGTATGACCACATGCTGGACGAGCTGGTGGCCATGGGATTTGAGAGGGAGCAGGCCAAACGGGCACTGCAGGCGAGCTACAACAACCCTGACAGAGCTGTGGAGTACCTAACAACGGTGAGTCAGATCTCCTCTGAACTCCTCACAAAGGTCTTGGCTCAGTGTTGCAATCCTGTCCATCTTGAGTCCTTTCCAGGCCATCACAAGTCATCCAGCCCTAAGCCAAGTGACAAGCTATTCAAATGAACAGTGACAAAGTGTCCCTTCTTCATTCTTCACGTCACTCGTGACTGGTCTTATGAAAAGGACGAGAGTGGACTTGAGAAGGGGGCTTGCGAAAGAGCTTGTGATGGGCCTGGCCTGTCTTAACTCTGAGTCACAGACTTCTGCAAAATCCACGGGGAGATTTTAGGGAAGTTGGTGCCCGACTAATGTTATGCTTTTTTCTTTTTTTTACAGTGGACTTAAATCCTCTTGATTTAAGAAATGCAAAGAATGATGCCGCTTGGCTTTTTTCCTATTATTGAAGGTTTTTGGAAGATTCAAGCACTTGGAGTTAAGGCCTATTTATCTTCTTTTCCAAGCACTAGTACAAAGTGCTGGTTGACTAGTACCTTCAACAAAGAATTGTTGAAACAGTAATTATGCAGTCAGCACACCAGTGTAAACCACCTGAATTGACTACACTTTGTCTTGTCTTACCACAGCCAGTCTGACGACCGGTTTCAGTGTGTACATGGCAGCTGTTACTTCACTTGGCCCAGATGTCCTAGATATGTTCAAATGCTCAGAAAGTGCCATTGTTCATGCAAAATGTTGGATTTCAGAGAATTTTTAATTGAATGAATTTGAGAAGCGCTGTCGGGATATGAGTATGAATGATTCATTGTTTTGGGGGTTTTGTTTTTAATGTCAGGGTATTCCGAGCATGCCCAGCGTCGAGCAACCACCCCCAGCACCCCAGCAAGAGTCATCAGGCGGTACAGAAGGTATTCCCACATTTTCCCCATGTCCATGTCCGAATCATTTGCAGTTTCCCCCTGATCTCAAAATCAACCATTTCCCCCTGCGGCTTCCACACCAAGTGCAATTAGTCCCATCTGGCCATTGCTGTCGAGTGCACGAGTTTGTTTTAGCTGCAGTCATGCACTTGTTCCATCAGAAATGAAACTGCCATTGTACATTGGCTTGTGAGTGATATTATGTTACTTCAGTTTTTATTGCTGCATCTTCCATTACTGAATCGATTTCCTGTTGTCTTCGCTCACACAATTACATGTAAAATGCATGCATCACAGAGTGCAGTGCATGCAAGATTCAGAGGTGCTGTCTGCAAGCATGCTAACCCTAATAAGTTGGGATAAGGCTTTTCTACAGTGAAGTTGCAAACCTTACTAGTGCAATATCCACTTCAAAGAGAAATTGGCAGTGTTGTACTTGAGACCACCAGATCGGAAACAAAACTTGACACAATGCCAGACACAAGACCAGTCGCAAGTAGCTAGGTGAACAGTGACAGAGGAAGGCTTTCCTGTCAGTTGGTTTGAATAACTTACGACTGGAATTGAGACTGGAGGTCTTGTGTTGGCCTTACTATGGTCTTCAGAGGTCTCGACTACAACACTGGAAAGTGTGTTCCACATTGGCATTAAAACGACTAAAATCCACAGGGCTCCGGATGGCAATCCTTTTAGCCTTTCTTCCTTTCTTGTTTTTTCAGCCACAGAGAACCCTCTGCTGTTTCTACAGAATTCTCCAGTGTTCACCCAGATGCGACAGGCTGTGCAGTCCGATCCCTCGATGCTACAGACGCTTATTCACCAACTTGGCCAAAGCAACCCAGAACTCTTACAGGTAAACATTGTTTTTAGGGAAGGCTTGTGCAGTACCCGAAAACCAAACCTCCCCCCCCCAACACAAACTTACTTCAGGTCAGATGAGGTCAGTTTTTGACACTATTTTAGTTCGGTCAGGTTGCTTTTGTTTTTGCATGTGTGAGTTTGGGGTCGGGCCAATTCAGTTTAGCCATCTTGGTAAAAAAGTTAAATAAACCAAACTAAATTCCCCTCCCCCTCCAAAAAAACTTCAAAGTATAAGTTAGATGTAAGGTTTTTATCCACACTATTTTTTTTTAGACTCCATCTGGGATTGTAAAGAGATATGTCACGATGTGGTCATTCTTTGAATTTGAGGTCCGAAAGTGTGAAATTTTTTGTCCCTGTTACTCCTGACCTGTGTAATTTTACATGGAAATGTCACTGAAGTTGATTTTAAACTATTTCTATTTGCTTGGCCGATAATTTGTATTAGTTCATCACACTTGAAAATCACAGAATGTGTTCTGAACTTACAAAATCATGTGAGATGTGACAGGGCGCAAAAAAAATTGGACTCCTAATTTATAGATTGAGCCAATACTTTTTAGTTCTCTCAACAACTTTTCCCAAAGGAACTTGTGCAGCACAGACAGGATCAGGCACAAAAAGCAAACATTATTTACATGAACCTGGTATTCAATTTGGGGTATCAGTTTAGGTCATCTGACAGTAATTTTTGACCTTAATTTTTTACAGCTGATCACCCAAAACCAGGAGCAGTTCATCGCCATGCTGAACGAGCCAATCTCAACCGGACCGACTGCCGGACAAACTGGGGGTCAGGTCAGTGGAGTACAGCCTGCAGCTCAGACGGCCGGAGGGCAGCCGGGCGGCCAGACGACGGCGGGGCAACCGGCTGGACTTGCCGGTGGAGAGGCGCCAGGGGTGCATTACATCACCCTCACCCAGCAGGAGAGGCAGACTGTTCAAAATGTAGGTGCAGCGTGGGGTGTGATTGAGAGCAGTGTCTCAATCAGTCTCTGGCCCTACCAGTGGCATTCCTAGGTTCTGAACCTCGAGGGGGCCAAAATCGGAATTTTTTTCTTTTCAAAACAATAAATCAACATTTTCATCTGTGAAAGAAAATTCACTCCCCAAAGAAAGATGGTAGGACCTGTTCAAAATACTGTCGCTTTCAATTCCTTACAAAAATTGCAACATGTGTCCCTGGGGGGGGAGACAAGTTCAGTCCGGTGATATTTTGCTCAGGCAGAACATTAAACTTCCCCTTTTTATGAATCTGTCATGCTGTTCAATAGATCTGTATATTTTCTTCCAAAATATTCTATGTAATGGAAAAATTGATAAGCTCCAGAGTTCATCAGCTTGAAGATTTTGCCGAGGGTGGACAAGCAGATTTTGAGTCTTAGATGAAACCCTGGTTGAGGGTTATTTCTAGTTTGGAGCTGGACACATCTGTTTTTTTTCTCTGTGTGATGAGTGGCATTTTCATGGAATTTTCTTCGTATTTAAGGTGAAAGAAAGTTTCAGGTGAAATATTTTTCATTGGCCATTGCCAATTGCTCTTCAGAGCACTAGCTCAATAGCAGAGAGTATCTAAAATGTAGTTAAAATTAGTTAAAGTTATCTCCATAGTAAAGCAAGGAATGGTTGGAATGTTCTTGTAGGTGTACTCTCAGTTTAATTAAGTACATTTGTTAGTACATCCATTTCCTGATTTGCTGTTGGGGAACTAAATTCCTGTTTTTGTTATTTGTTCTTTCTTTTCCCCCTCCATTTTCCCATCAGCTCCAGGCACTTGGATTCGAAGAGAGTTATGTTTTACAAGTTTACTTGGCCTGCGACAAGAACGAGAACTTGGCGGCAAATCTCCTTCTACAGGCGAAAAGCGAAGAGCAGGATTAGCGTCATCTTTAAAGTTTGCCATCAAAATCTTTTTGTAAATAATAACGGTAAACTGTTTTTCTTTTCCTTGATAAAAAAATATCAAGTTGTACTCCAAAAGGGGGGGAAAAATCAACATTTTTGGGCTCCCTGCACCCGTCCGGTAGCCGGGTCACTGAGAGGATTGTTAGTAATAACACATTCGCCTAAAATCAGGACACCAGATGATCAATAGCTATTATTAAGTAGAGAGCCCTGCAAAAATTTACCAACATCTACTAATATCTCTGCATCTGCTGTTTCAAATTTGGTTCGTCCTAAAGAGCAGCCATTTGACAAAGACAAAGCACTCAACCCTAACCATGCTGAACCCAACAAGGTTATGCAGGATTTCAATGGTCCCTAGGGGGTTAGGGTTGAGTTGACTTTTAATTGGTTGTACTTGTAGGTGCTATGAATTTCAGCAAATCGAATAAGATGCACCGTACATGTAATTTCCAGAGCTATTGTGGTTTCAAATAGGTGTCAAGTAACTTCACAGTTAATATTATCCGTGAAGAGGAATCACTTTAGTCTCTGCTCAAACCTTTTTGAACAGATTTCACGCTTTACGGCTAAAAGGTTGTCATTTGCTCTTCAACTCCAATTTTTATCCCCTTTTTTTTCCCCGTCCAGTTTTAAAAGAAACTTTTACTGGTCCAGCTTATTAGAGAAACTATTGCAAGGGCTGTGTTTGTAGAACTCACTTCAGCAGGCTCGTGAAAACAAGAAGCTTTATTTAACAGAAAAGTTTGAAGTAATCATACAGGCTTAAAAATACTTTTTTTGTGAGAAATCTGTTTCAGTACCTGTTGTAATTATAAGTAAACTTTCAAAAAGAAAGTTGATTGAGGCCACCAGTTCTTTACCTTTCATTGACTTGAAAAAAAAAAGATCACATGTATAACGGTAGGTCTGTGTTGTTGGTTTGTGCATCTTAAATGTGACCCACCTTCCACAAGTCAGAAACAGTTTAGCTAGGCCTGTCTTGGGCAGACCATTGATGGAATATCCAAGAACAGTATGATATCCAAGAGTACAAGTTTCTTGGGCCCTGACAGTCACCGTTCGTACCCTCACAGCTGACTTCATAACTGCATTGAAAGCACATGTCTCTAGCACAAAGTGCACAATTTTTTTTCAATTTAAGAATTTTTGAGAATTCAAATCACGTGCAAAGTTTTTCAGAGTTCAACTTTGTGGTTTAGGGTAAAGTCATGCAAATTCCCTGGTAACCTGTACAGCTAAGTCATCTTGGATACCAGGCACAATTGGCCAGTGGTTGACAAATGGTTGTCACTCAAACTTACCCAATTTCCACCCTTCACAAACAACGCGCCCGGAATCAATACAAACTGCATGTGTACATGTACGTCATATTTAAGTTAATGATGAATACAACATTTAAAACTGTAATCCATCGCATTTAGTCACTTAACAGCCATTGAAGCAGACTTTAAATGAATGAACATAAGCATCAAGCACCCACATTCTTTTTTTCCACCTTGATAATGTTTATTTTCACAAGATCACATACTTGAAGCAAGGAGTTCCGTGTGCTCTTTATAATGTGAGGTGGTAACAAACTAGCGAAAAACAATTTTGTCAGTAATATATGGTTACGAGTGCTGTTGACCAGGTTTTCATGTTGGTGGAGTCGATGATGGGTTATGAAACATATTCATTTTGGGCTTAATTTCGTAGAGCTTCTGTTAAGCTGAAAATTTTGCTTAGCATTTGATTTGTCCCTAGCAAAACATTGGTTGAGAACCAATCGCAAAAACTAGACATTGTGTGATAATTTGTCTGGTAACTTATTTTTAATGAGTATGCATTTTCATTGCTTAGCAAATGAGCCATTTTTGGTATCCCAACCGCACAAGATCAAGGTCATTCGAGAAGAGCAGTATGTACGTGCGAAATCTGCCCCATCGGTGCACCGACTTGCACCCTTTGTTCTCTAGTGACCTTGCCATTTTGAAATACTGAACTGGCTCATTAGGGCACTCAGCGGCTACATGTGTATACAATTGGACTTTGCTCTAGGCCGTTCAGAGCGGGTAAAGTAGATACACGGTACGTACATAAAGGAGAAAGGCCACTATTAGGGGTTACTTTCACCCATAAACCACATGTGTCATGTTAGTATTCATGTGTATGATACTAGTAGTACTGTTTTCAAACTAGCTGCTATTTTGCAATTATCTGCGGGAAGGGCGTGGCATGATTTTGCATGGACTTCAGAAACTAAACAAATGTGCATCAGGGGTTGCAAAGTACAGAGTTGATTGGGAAAAGACGTACTGCTTGCTCAGCAAAGGAGGGAAAATGTCGTTGCACTCTGTTTTTCTTGTTTCTTGTTCACAGCTTGCTTAGCAAGTAAAGTATGCGGAGCAGTATGTTCTGCGAAGCAACCCTTTAAATTGGGGCCTGTATCCGATTCCACAAATGTTCGACAGTGTGGAGATCTTCGTCAGAATACGTGAAGAAGGGGGAAACCTTACGGTGAAATAGCTGAACGTAGTCTGAATTTACTGAAGAGCCGGCTTTCTCCCCCACCGGCTCTGAAAACGGGCAGATTTTACTTTTCTTTACGATCACAGCTGTCAAGAAACGCACTTTTTTGCTGGCATGGCCCATAGGGCCGATTATCTTTGTAACCAATTGTTACTCGAATTGTTCCGTGCCCGGTTATTGCTTAACAATGAATTTGTTGTGGTACAGCTTCGAACAAATTGCATTCAAACATTTCACTTTTTCAGCTCTGTTAAATCGCGTAGTCTGTTAAGCAAATTTGCCATATGCCTTTAGTCTGTTCTACTCTGTAAGATTTTGTATAAAATATGACAATCGATAACTCTCGTTCAAGTGGATCGCCGAAAGATGGGATTCCACCTTGAAAATACAAAATAATCTGGACATGAACAGTTGATGCAATTCTTATAAGTATTTTTAATTGTTTAATTGTGGGAAACTGTTCGACCATTCTAAGTAATTTTTACTTTAAGCGTGGGAAAATATTAAAGCATTACATTGATTGCAAAGGTTAATAACTTTGGCATCTCACTGAAAAAGTTAAGTACCGCTTCGGTCATACGACTGCGGTGTTCGTGTGCGCTGAGACTCTTAATTTTGAGGTGAATTGCAGCAAAGTAAAAGAGAGAAGTAAAAGGGAGAGAAATTATCAACAGTCTTGTATTTAAAAGTGGTTCTCATTGGCAGTTAGAGTTAAAATCAACCAGAATTTTTTTAAGCCAATCGCTGTAGTCACCCACGTGCAAGTCACCAGCTCCATGAAATGCACAACGTACTTCGGATTGTTTTGTCAATACGTATGATCTGACTCGATATTAATTTTGAGGTTGGCTTGGACGGATCAGTGAGTTACTAGATTACAACTCGGGAGATAGGAATAAAAGTTGGAGCAGAATAGTTAAGTAACATGTCTGCAGCGAACAAAAGATGTCACGGCTGTTCCAACTGGAGAGGGCGCTTTAACTTCAACCATTATTTTATTTTATGATGATAAACGGAAACACCACTTCTCTTTAAAACATCGTGAATGTTATTTGTCGATATCAGATTGTGCCAGTTTTCCTGTGAAACCTGATTTATTGTCGCGTTTATGGCGCTATTCTTTGATCGGCAGAATTCGTTGGCAATATCCAATGACAATGGCAGCCGTTGTGATTTTGGCGTCTAATGGGGCAAGTTTTCTTGCGTTACGTTGATTTTGTTGTTGGCTGGTGCTCCCTGACCAACAATCTGTGAAGAGACGTTTGGGGATCGTCTGGTCAAGGAACCCGACTTGTTCTTGACCAGTGACAAGATCTTTTTCAAGTTGTACTTGAACATAAGTCAGTGACAAGACATTATTGACGGTATTCAAGACGCAGTGGACGGTTTATCCTACAGCAATTAGTAGCGATGCATTTTCAGGAGTTGGGTCGAGGACTGTGGGCTATATTTTAAGGCGATACTTTAAGGCATCCGACAAACCCTACAAGCAGTAACATTACACTTCTGAATTTGTTTCTACATCAGATGCAATAAAGGACGCTAATTGTAAATCGAGAATGGAAAGTATCTCCATTAAAATTGCCACAAAGTATCATGTACCATCAGTTGCTTTGAAACATAGGGGGCTGGGCTGGTGTCAAGGATGAAAAAAAACCCTGCTGACTTTTACTGGTGCTATATGATTAGGAGTTTTGTTCAACATGATAAGAATGACTTGGGTGAAGACCTGACGTGGAGAGGTTAACCATTGATGAGTCATTACACAAATCGCTTGCTTTACCTGTTAGTGGGGTATATTTTACGCAGCAGTGTAGTAATCATAGGTACATGTACATGTTTTTAGAGCTCAGGCTTCAAATAAAAATGCCCTTTTCCTAGCTTTTGTAAAAAAAAAGGGTAGCACATGATGTATGTTATTTAATGTATCTAGCGCTGCAGCCAGAATCGTTTAACTAAGTCATGTTTTTCTATGAAATAACATGAAAGTGATGTGCGCGAGTTAATCAAGATTCTAAAAGAGATTGTGCTTTGAAACTCTACTCCTGGTAAATTGCATACACTGTGACAACGGCGAAAAGGGTTGCGTTTTCATAAGCTACTGACACAAAGCCGTCTTTGCCGGAATCCCAGAGACATCTGCCGACGTCCTTCACCTCTTGCCCTTTCTTCTGACCCAAACAGGCCACGCAGACGAGTTTGTACCGGTCGAAGCCTATCAGCTTGACCCGCTGCTTTACCGTGTCGCTGATGGTGCGCGCCTTGGCAGCCATCATGCTGGGGTTCTCGTACCGGACGTCGTCCATGTCCTCCAAGACGTTCTCGATGACCTTACGAACGGGCTTTTCTCGGAAGGGTCGCTCGGGCCCCATCTTGTAGGTGTTGGGCTTTGGTAGGCTGGCGGCCGACGGCCCGCGCACGATGCCGCTCTCCGTGCCCCAGCCGCGCTCCTCCACGCTTAGGGTCCGGCGCGGCACGGAAACCTTGCGGTATCTCTCCGGGTCGCCCATGCTGTGCTTACGGCTACGCAGTTCGGTTCCATCTGAGCTCCCCACCGAGATGTTCCTGGGTCTCCCAGTGCTGCCGAACGACACCTTCCGCGACCTACCCTCCAACTGGTGACCGGTTCCGCCGTCTCCGAGATGTTCGGTCCCCGGCATGTTGTGGGCCAGATCTGCTGGGTTAGGCCGAGTGTACACGGACGTTTTCCGTCGTGGTTTCTGCTCTCCTTGCTCGGTCATGGTTCGTCAGACTGTTTTTCCAAGTCAAAGCATATAAACAAGCCGCCAGCTGGTTGAAAAGCGGTCGAAAGCCTTGTTTGGTTGGGTTGGCTCAAGAGCGCACTTGTTCAAACTTCAAGAGATTTTCTCAACAACACTCATCATCTGGTCTGGCGCAGATGTTCATCGCAGTGAACGGATGAGACCTGTTCTGTATGTGACAAAATATTTTTAAAGTTAGAATAATTATTTGCTTTTTCTGGATTCTTTGCTTTGCATTAAAAGTCACAGAATTTAACGAACACACAGGATAAAAAGAACAAACACCTGAACTTCGAGAAGATACAGGTTGACATGACATTGAGGATAATTACAAGAGCGAAAGGCTAGCCGATCGTCCATTTTAATTTGCATCTTTGTAGATGCTGAACAGCCTAGTTTAGTCACTCCAAACCCCTGGAAATATTGCCTACACCATACCATTAAGGTTGCATTCCGCGAAATGATTGTATTTCTGCAGCGAACTCACTGATGTTTTGTGACCCCACGGGGTTTTTACAATAAAACATGCCATAATCAGGAGGGATCACAGAAACATTTTTATAAATCCCGAATTTGGGACTAGTAGTTTCCAGTCCGGGTTATTTCTTTCACAAAAAGCCCGAAATTGCGGGTCTATTTGGAAAAACAATGAGAGCTGGGCGAACAGTTTGACTATTTTGGATATATCTTTGGGAAAAGGCAAATAAAAACAAATCGTGGGCAAAACCCATACAATTGAAACGAAAAGTGATCTACTGGCCATAATCTTGAATTTCCGGTGACAAAACCGGAGACAAACCTCCTCCGAGAGTCAACAGGCGGCGCTATTTCGCTCTGATTTTTCACTGCTTTCCATGCGTGCACTGAACTAAAGGAAGCCCATTCGAAGACAAGGTAAAATCGACCACGTTTGCAGCCCCGGTGCAGGCAACCAAAGTCCTTCGGGCCTCTTAACCCTCCCCCCGCGGCAACTTGAAAACAAAAACAAAAAAAAGCTGAGTGTTCTTGGGTCATTCAGCTTTCTATTGATTTTCAATTTTAAGTAGGTTACTTAACCAATGTAATGTATAATTATCCACTAAAAACAAACTCAACCCCCCCCAATGAAAGCTCTTAAGTCTGTCATCAGCGGCCATTTTTCAAATGACATCCCTCCAGATTTTCAGTCTCTTGGAACAATTTGTCAATAGCGTTTTTCCGTGCTTGGTCCTGGAATGGGAGCCCTTGAATGTGAAGAATTCATTCTGGGCCATTCTTCCACAATCACACAATTTCTTGGGCCACACAATCTCCTCTTTTTCAAATAAACTCTAGGGTTACTTTTTCAGCGCCTCGGTTTGGCGAAGAATTCTCCTTGAATTGGGCAGAGCATCCCGTATTTTGGTGTAGTGCAACCTTTAAGAGTTGAGACGTCTTCGGACGGACGTGCCGACAGTCCGGGGACTTTACCATATTGATGCGCGCGCATTAATTTAAATTTATCAAGGAAGAGCTGCAAGTGAGATTTGTGTAGGCCAATTGTGC